AATATAATATAATATAGTAATATATATATATTTATATATATATATATTTTTGTTTAATTATTACTCAAATTGGATATGTGTTGGATTGATTAGTCACTCGTGATGTTGAGAGAGAGAGAGAGAGAGAGAGAGAGAGAGAGAGAGAGAGAGAAAAGATATATGAATGTACAATAAAAAATTTTGAAATAATTTTGAGAAATATTTGTCATGTATTTAAGATAGCTCTCATTGATGTCAGCCGAAAATGAATTTAATCAACCAAACCTTTTTTTTTTATTTTTTAGATATTTAAAAAAATAGAATTAGAGTGAGAGAGAGAGAGAGAGAGAGAAAGAATATGATTCGAGTGGTGTCAATAAATGCTACCAGAGACTTCTTATCTCTCTCTCTTTCTCTCTTTCTCTTTCTCTTGTGTTCATGCACAGCAGTCGTGTCGGCGAATCATCAAAAGAAATTGGACGCTGATAAATCAAGTGGGTTCTTTAAGAAAATTAATTGAAGATAAAGTCAGTGACTAAAGTCCCACCGTGTATGTATCGTCATGAAAGTCAAGCAAAGTTATTATTGTTAAAAACGTTTATTATTAGAAAATACATTTCTTACAATTTGAAACGAGTGAGATAATTAAATTGATAAAAGTAAATAACGTCATTCGTTGCGATGATTAGACAACAACAACAAAAAAGCACACTCACGTGAAATATGACGTATTTCGTTATAAAAAAAAAAAGTAAAAAGTATTGAAGTCAAGCTTCTGCTATTTCGATTTACACAATTTTTTCTTTTTTTTTCTTACTTTATTATCTATCAAGGATTTTAGATAAGAATTCTTACAAATTCCTGGGACAAGATTTCTTCAAGTTTTGTTTTTTTACTTACAAAACGTTATAACCCATCATCGTTCATGCTATGGAAATCCCAACTGTATACACATTAAGTTTCCATTTCATTACTGTATAACTTATCGTTTTTTAAAATGTTAAAAAACACTTCTCTCCAATTGGTTAATATATTATATTTACATAGATCCTAAAAATAATACGTAATCAGTATAATTATGACCGTATATATCAAATAAATCATAAAATAAATGTTCTCATCATCATTATACTATATACTATACTATATACTATAAATATAACGTGTACTATATACTATATACTATATACTATATACTATATATTATATATTATAAATATAATCTATACTATACGTTATACATACTACTACTACGTGTATCATAATTTAACCAAATTAAAAAAAAAAAAACAACAAATAAAATTAAAAAAAATTCAACGATAATTGAGTGTGTCATCAAAAATACAATTTTGTTTAATATTTTATACATATTATAATATATTGCTAAAAAAAAAAAGGGACCAACACATCTCACCGATATTTACACTGTCTCTTTACTATACAATTAATAATATGATAAAGTGAAATAGAAGGGGTGGGGTGGGGGGGATAGAGTTATCCTCTTTAGGAGTCGTCGACAAATGAGATTGTAAATGTGTATATCTCCCCTTGTATACGTGTTCGCGTGCGTGTATATATATATATATATATGTATGTATAATGCAGAAGCAGGAATACCGAGGAGTAAGCGTCGCGACGCCCTGGGGGGACCCTAGAGACAGAAGCTCCGCCCTGTGGAGTCGTGCGCCAACCGGTGCGGTAGGAGGGGCCTCATCATGTCGCCTCCAAGGACAGGTAGTCAACTAAAGGCAAGCCGTACAACTTCCGCTACGCTCCTCAACTAAACTTTAGTATTGCTTGGGCTCTTGTAATAGAAAGAAGAAGAAGAAGAATCTTCTTCTTCCTACGTTCATCTTATTATTATTTTTCTTTATTCTTATACCATTTGTAAGAATTTGTTCTTTTAACATATATTTATAATAATATTGTAAGTTTGATTAACCTATTTACTTCCAGTAGTACTATATATATATGCATAAGAAGTGGATTTGATATTTTTTGTGAATTATATAAGAAAAAAAAACCATGAGGAATGGACCCTAACAATGTGATCTCGAGATTGAAGAAAAATAAAAGTGTAAGAGTGTCGTGAAACAATTTGAATTAGTTTAAAAGGACAATTATTCGTTAAATTATTTTGTTAATATAAAATGCAGACTAAAATGGAACCTCTTACGCCACCGCATACCCCTCCGTCGGTAGAAAGATCGATTCAACATTTACAAATGACATCTACAGTATCGTCATCTGGTTGGATTAGATCTCAACAAATTTCTGGAAGATTTATTCATCATCATCAACAACATCAACAACAACAGCAACAACAACAACAAAATATTGGTGGTTATCAAGCAACTGCATTTTTAGATAGTTGGTTTAGGGGTGCAGCTTTGTTAGCAGTTAGAGGATGTTGTCCACAAACTTCTCAACATTTTCATCATCCTCATCATCATCATCATCATCATTATCCGCGTCATCATCAACAACAACAGCAACAACAACAACATCATCAAACTCATCAAGGTTTACATCCGGCGATTCCAGTTCAACCGCCGGCTTCATTCGTCACACGAAAAGTACCAGGACAAAGACCGAAGAAACAATTCATATGCAGATTTTGCACTCGACATTTTACCAAAAGTTATAATTTATTGATACACGAGCGCACGCATACAAACGAGAGACCTTATGCCTGCGACATTTGCGGAAAAGCATTCCGTAGGCAAGATCATCTCAGAGATCATCGGTGAGTTTTCTATTGAATTCAATTTTTCACATCATCTTCAAATTATTCATCCATTAATCAACGTTTCATTTTATTCATGTCATATTTTTGTATTATTTACAGATAATATTGTATATTTGTATAGAAACATATTATTGTTGTGTCCAAACGTGTGTATTGAAATAAAATTCATTTCATTTCATAATTTTTTTTAATTGTATTTTTTTAAATACACACAAACCCATAAATATATATATATTTAAAAATATTCTTATCTCATATGATCAGTACATAATTAAATAATAATAATAATAATAATAATAATATTAATAATAATAATAATAATAATAATAATAATAATAATAATAATAATAATAATGATTGAATTCATTGAAAAAAACTTTTGTATTTTTTTCTGTTATATTTACTCGTCATTAGATATATACACAGCAAGGATAAACCATTCAAATGCACTGATTGCGGAAAAGGATTTTGCCAGAGTAGAACATTGGCCGTTCACAAGATTCTACATATGGAAGAATCACCCCATAAGTGTCCAGTCTGTGGGAAAAGTTTCAATCAGAAGAGTAATTTGAAAACTCATCTTTTAACTCATGCCGACGTACCTCAGGATCTTAGGATCGACAGCAGCACATTTGGAAATTCGAGGGTTACGAGTTCGACTACGTCGGTTAAACAATTTCCTGAAAGAACAGGAAATCTTAGAACCAATCAAAGAAGCACTACGGCACTTCCCAAACTTGGATTTAGTATAGAGGATATAATGAGGCGTTAAAATTGAAATATTTAATTCATTGGGTACATTTCTTTTTATTTGCGTTATTTTAATCGGTTTTTGTTTCTTCATGTTGTTGAACAACGCTAAAAACGAACATTCTTTTTTGGGATACGATTTATAGGATTAAATTGATTTCGGTTTTCGTTTCTCTCTTTCTCTCTCTTTCTCTCTCTCTCTCTCTCTCTATCTATATATATATATATANTATATATATATATATATATATATATATATATATATGTGTGTATATGTGTATAGGTATAAAAAAAAAGTTATTCGTAAATATTTATTCTTCGTCGTTTGTAAATATATTTATATTCTTCTAGAAATAATAATCATATATTTCGTTTTATTCGTTTCTTCTCTGACTGTACGAGAGAAGATAGAAAAAGAAGGAGGAATAAATGCAATATTTATAATATATTATATATTATATATATGCACCTAGAGACAGTATTATAATAAACTAAAGATATTAATGCGTCTATGTAAGATTTATAATATAATTCGATTTAGTTTTTATTTCAAACTCGAGAAATGTTCGTAAAATTTTATTATCGATTTTTTTTTCTCTTTCAATGTAAAAAAAAAAAAACGAGATAATTATATTTATCAAATATTTCTTTATTTTATAAATATTATTCAAACATTTTTGTACATGCGTATAAATGTCTGTCTACGTTCGAAACGATATATATATTAATAAAATTAAGATAATTAAACATTTAAAATCGTCAATTGTGTAATAGAAAAAAAAATTAAAGGAATATTACATACACCATTATTGTCTATTAGAATGTGTATACTAAACGTTGTTCACACCTGTTATATATGTACGGTTACGTTTTGTAAACAAATATGAGCGCATGGTGTTAGGGAAATTCATCGAGAATGTTTTTGTAACCTTCAGTATGATCGTTGTTAGTTAGTCGTCGTTTAACCTTCTATAAGGATGGATCGATATACATTTTACAGTACGTAAATTACTTAATTATTATTTATTACTGCATATAATGATATTTTCGATTAAATATTCCGTTACATTTAGAAAAAAAAAGTGCAATCTCGTTGTAGTTCTATACAAATTGTCGCATAATTTTTCAAAATATACAAAAAATAGTAAACTGAACAACTGAAACATTATAATCGTATAATCGTAACCAAATATTATATTTAAAATACATAATGAATTAATTCCAATTTATTATAATGCAATTTTACAAATCGATGATATCTAAAATATTCCGTTACATTTAGAAAAAAAAAACGTACCATCTCGTTGTAGTTCTATAAAAATGGTCGCATAATTTTCAAAATATACAAAAAATAGTCAACTGAACAACTGAAATATTTAAATCGTAACCAAATATTGTATTTAAAATACATAATTAATTAATAAATTGCAAATTATTATAACGCAACTTTACAAAAATTGATGATATCAATGTTGCGTTGATATTCTTCTTTAAAAAAATGTTGGTAATAAATAAAACACGCTATATAAAATAGTATAGAAATTAAATAAAAAAAAAAAAAGAAACACAAAATATGCCACGTAATAATCATCATCATTATAAAAGTCAAAATGAAATTTAGTATGATGTTAAGCTCAAAAAAGAGGCGTCAAAGTAATTGCTCGATCCTTTTAAAAAAGATAAAAAAAAAAAACAAAAACCCAAAGAAAAAAAAAATAAAGATGGACAACAAGCGAATTGATCTTTATCATTTCGAATAGAAGCCACACATAGAGGACATTTCCTGTTTTGTGTTGCAACGAAAACGTTAATCGAGTAGTTTCCTTTGAGAAAGGTATCTCTCTTTTTTCTTCTTATATTTTTTTTTCTTCTTTTTCTGTTTTACTGTTTTCCGTAAAAATTAGGAATCTTTGATCAGATAAGAAGCCACGTAGAAATGAATGGCGGAGTGTGAGAGTGAGAGAAAGAGAGATAAAGAATGGAAATGGAAAGAAGAGAAGAAAAAGTGGACACCTCGTTGGGTTATCTGTCTCGCACCTTTTATTTATTCATTTTCTTTTTTTTTCTTTCTTTTTCTTCTTCACCTACCGTCCCGTTTACAATGACCTGTAAATTAGTTTTAAAGCTCGACCATTTCTTTTCTTTTAATCTAGGAATTGTAAATTATTTTATCTTTCTCAAACACTCTCTCTCTCTTTCTCTCTCTTTTTCTTCTTTTCATTCTTCCATTTTTTTTTTTTTTTAGACCACCCACATTCACACTAAGCATATTATATATATAAATGATAACGAGCGAGCAGATTTTGCTTATCTTCCTATACAGGAGTCCTTTCATTTCTTTTATTTTCTTTAAAACCCTCTCAATCAACTTCTTCCCTCAACCCCCTACCCGTAACCTCACTTTTGCCACTTATTTTTCTTTATCTTTTATTTATTTCTTTTTGGTTATTTTTCTTTTCTTCTTCTTCTTTTTTTAACTTGTTTTTCCAAAACTTGAAAAAAAATGATCAGATATTTGAAAAGTTAAACAAATTAATTTATATTTGTTTAAAATATATTCATTTAGTTTAGTAGAATATTTTTTTGTTCTTGTATAACTATAAGAATATTAGTCATAAGAAAATATTGTGTATTAGGATAATTATCACTAATCGTAGCTCTTTGGGATCTTCGTAAATTTATTCAATTCAGTCGAATATTTATAATAATAATGATAATTATTATTATTATTATAATTATAGATATATATATTTATGAAGTTGCAATTTATAAAGATTTCGATGTTATTGCAACGTGTGTTATACCAAAAAAAAAAAAAGAATCGAAAAGAAAAGGGGAAAAAAAATAATTATTATTTAAAAAATAAAGAAAGGTGAAGAAGAATGTTATATATCGGGTTTATGTAAATTATCGATCTAGTCGACTGTAATAATATGTAAGACTGCTTGTTAATTTATTAGAAATAGAAGATAAACAAAGATAGAATAAGAAAAGGAAAGAAAGAGAGAATAAATGAATGAATGAATGATTGTAAAAAAACAAAAAATATAATTAATTAAATTGTCAAACAACAAGTCATATAATTAATTTATAATCTTTTTGTTATTTCACATCTAGTAATGCCAAAATATTCCTTTATCCTAATATTATATATCTTCTATAAATTATTAATTAGTTATCAATGCAAGTAATTATTATTATATAAATAAAAAGTATTATAAATTAATTTTTTATTATAAAAAAAATGGTACTTACCTATTAACACCACCGCAGCAAAATTCCGCTAATGCTCTAATCTACACCTTAAATTGTTGTGACAAATCATAGAATACAAAATTTTATTTAAAATCAAAACACTTTCCAAGTTCAAAACTTTTTATTTATAAAAAGTAGTCAATCGTATTTCAGTGGAAAATAGCCCGATAAAGAATTTAACATAAATTCAAAACTACCTATTTTCTTTCACTTGATGCTGTCGCCATAACCTTGACGTAACCCTGACGCAACCCTGACGGTTGCTATGTGCAAACAACAAGGTTGTTGTGTGCGAACAACAAGATTGCTCTTTATTGGCGCATTAGCGGAATTTTTGCTGCGGTGGCGCTAATACGTGAGTACCAAAAAAATTAATAACAATTTTAATGTATATATAATTATTGTATTATTTTGTAAATATTTATTTATTTGTTGTTGAAATCAATTAAAATGAATTATATAGGAAGAGGGTATGTGGGTTGAAGAAGTAGAATAATCGTCCAATCGTTTTTCATAGGGATAAAGTTAACAAATCATTTGGAGTTATCTTTTCATGGTACATTTCCCTCACGGCAATAAACAGGACACGGTTAACCAAACCCACACTAGGTCCGCTAGTTAGCACTGTTTAACTTTGATTAATTTTCTCACACCCTCTACTCAGACAATAAAACCTGATGAAAAAGGGAACAAACAAGGTTCATATATATATATATATCTTTCTCTTTTTCTCTCTTCTTCTTCCATGTCACTTTATCCCATATCTTTTTCTATATGGGGGTGTTTCGTAATAATGTTCTCTCTCTCTCTCTGTCTCTCTCTCTCTCTGATTCTTTTATTCCCAGTATTTGTCTTCTGACAATTGGTTGTTTTTCGTGTCACTTTAGAAATCGTTCGAATTAAAAGGATTTATCATTTTGATTTTAGCAAATATGAAAAATTGTATACTTTAGATGTTACGTAGATAATTGTACAGATTGTTCAGATAAGGGTCAGTTCGTTTGATGTTATACTTGTATAATAATAATAATAAAATACGATTCATATATTTGCATGTATGTATCTATGAGAAGAAATAAATCGTCACTTTGCAACATAATTTCTTGTCATAGATATTTATCTGCATCATCTAACGAGATTCTTATATCAGTGAGATTGATCTTCTATTTAGTAAGGACATTTGATATAACATATTCAATAATACTAAATTAGCAGTTACGGTGCATACACATCTGGTCAGTTCTTTTAAATGGATCGATAAATATCATTCTCATAATATAGTTTTGATCTATATTAAAAAAAAAAAAGATGAAAATAATATCAGATAACGTCGGGTGTGATTTGAACGATATTTTAATTTTTGTTATAAATATTGTTGTTGCATCGTTTTATTGCGTTCTAAAGTATTTTATGGGAGTCAAAACGGTAGATAAAAGAAGAAGAAAGAATGTGTATGTGTGGGTGTTTTGTTGGGGCCCACACTGGGTCCACCCTCTAGGCCCTAAAACGTTAACCGCAGATTGCCCAACGGATTAGATCGCACGGTTAGTCTTTCGAAGTTCACAGTCTGGTCATCTGAAATCCAGAGGAAGATGAAGATGATGAAGAGGAAGAAGGAGAAACGGGGTAGTTGCTTTCGACGAAGCCAACAGAAGAGTCCTCGTGAAAAAGGGTCAGGAGAGAGAGAGAGAGAGAGAGAGAGAGAGAGAGAAAGAGAGAGAGAGAGAAAAGAGAGAGTGCTCACGCTTTTTTTGCACGCAGCACAACCCTATCATTAGGGCGTGAGCCTTATCTAAAGGGTCATAGGGCTGAGTACGACCTCGAGAGTCTCACAGAGTTTCACTCGGGTGTTGTTCGTCTCCTCCCGAATTCCAGGAGTCTCTTTGTGACC